TTTGGAAAAAAGTGTAGAAACCTTCAATAATTCTTGGTAGAGGTATTAGGATCAAAGAAAATGCTTGAATTGGTGAGGAAATGAAAATCACTTTTGCACTTGGAGCTCACTTTTTCATGTTGATACAACCATGGAATTGCACTAAAATCTTCTCAAAAATTGATGGAAAAATCCTATGTAGTATATTGAATTAATTGGTAATGAGAAAGGATCAAAAAATGGAGAGAAAAAGGATTGAAAAAAATGGAAATTCAAACATGTGAAAGTGTGGGAAAAAATGGAAAAATGATGGAAAAAATTCAATATGATTTGCAAATGGATTCAACATCAACTATCACCAACCTTTACTCTTAATGATCTCAATCCAATATATAGATGATGATTAACAAACTTAGAGGTTTCTAGAATAATCTTGGATGATTCTAGAAAGTTGTGGAAATTTCATGAACTTCTCATGCCATGATACTTTGAATATCTCTTATCTCATGCTTGCACCTTTCCAAACTTATGTCAAAATCTCCTTACATGAGATATGGGAAGTGTATGTAAGCTCCTTGCCTTGAAAATTCATCTTGTGCCAAGTTTTCTATACTTGCCTTATTATGCAAGTAACAAAAATACAAAGCAAGTCCAATTTTTAAACCCTAACTCAAAAAAGTGGCTGAACCAATGTCTTTAAAATGATGTTGGGAATCAATTTGGTATATTGGATGACCCATATTGGACTTGTAGATCTCTCAAACCATTTTCCAACTTGAACTTTTTCAAGTTATATGCCTTTTTTAAGTCATTTTTCACCAACTTTTATCAAGTCTTGTTCCATGCATTTCCAAACTTTCATGACTTCTTTTCTTGACTTAAAATGACATTTTGAGCAACTTTGATGTTGGGAAGTTTTTCATTTGAAGCTCCCTTGTATGAGTTTTAGGTATAGGCTAAGAATGACCTGTAATCACCAGATGACCAAAATACCCTTTGCTTGCCAAGACCATAAGTAGAGTTCCACAAATCATATGAAGGCATACCATACCATTCTAGAAAGCTAAGACAATGAGGAAAAATTATTATGTTGACCAGAAATTCATTTGAAATCTCCTTGAGGGGTAAAAATTGCTTGGAAGTCAAGTTACTTTCACAGACAAAACTTCAGATACCTCAGATGACCTGTAACTTGCAAGGACCATAACTTGAGTTCTATAAATCTCCTTGATGTCTTCCACCACTAAAATTAAAGGTCTTGAGATCCTTTACAAGTTTCATGTTGGCCAAGGATCCATTTGAAGCTTGCATTTTGACTTATCTTGCTTGGAAGTTTGTCCTAAACTAGGGAATTTTACACAGAAACCCTAATTTAGAAACTCCTCTTCTCCTTGATTTCTCTTGAATTCTTCTTAGAATAACAACATATCCTTATTCTTCATGTCAAATGATGAACCCCACATCTCTCCAATAGCCCTTAATGCCTTTCAATCAGTCAATTGACCTAGAGTTGACCCAGGGTTGACCCAGATGAAACCCTAGTTGACTGTCTTCAACTGTAATTCTTGTGACTTCACCAATGACTTGTCTCCTTCTCCAAATGACTTTCTAAGTCTTCCAAGATGTCTAGATACTCCCCATGCTCAGCCCACAACTCACCATTTCTTTGTTGATCCTCAGACACCCTTAGTTAGGAGATAGATGAACTGCTTGCTCCATTGACTTGATAGCTTCCAAATTCTTTTCTGATGACTTGAATGAGGTTGAATCAGGATAATAACCTCTTGATAGGCCTCTAGAGATGAGAATAATGATTGGTCCCCTGTTAGCTGACTTGCTATGCTTATGCTATGCAGATGAGTAACCTATGTACATGGCCCTATATGCAAATGCTAATGCAATTGAAACATAAACCAAGTGAATAAGGTTGGGCAAATTTTTAGGGTGCAACAGAGTGCCCTAAGATGAGGTTAGAAATACATCCGTTCATCTTTTCCTATGTGTTTAAGGCTCGTGACACACTTTACACATCGTCTTTATTATGTGTTTTGTTTGATTTGAGAGAGAAGAGAATGACTCAAGGGATAAAAGAAAAATCTAAGAGAGACTCTGTCCTAGATGTTGTCATGCCAAATGCTCCTATAGTTGAGGTTGAAAGAAATGACCCTGGTATTACCACGAAGGGTAAGACCTAAAGGAACACTATGTTTTAACTTGACTTAACTAAAATGAACTAAGATCGGTCCTATGGAACAAATGAGTCAATATAAGTAATTATACCCTTACAAACAATGTCACGAGCAATCATGTACCAGGTTCACAGCGAAAATCATCAATATGAATGCGCCACAATTAATCGAGATCAACATCAAAGTCCAAATTGAACTCGAATCAAAATTTAATGCCCAACTATGATCATAGTCCAAATTACATTCATGGTTAATTAATCAAAAGCTTAGTATCAACCTGATCAAGCAAATAAGTCATAGATTTTATGAATTCAGCACCAAACTTTATACCAAAATCAATATTTTAAACAAACTCAGAATTGAGGTCAACATCATTATATAAAAAAAAAAACTAATACCACAATTCATCTAATTAAAACTTATATTAAAATAAACCAAATTTTTTAATCAATATTAAACTTAAAACACTGAGGAAATGAAACCAAATAAGAAAGGGTGTAAAGTGGATCATGAGTGGTGCAAGTTTTAAAAAAAAAGGGAAACGGGCTTTAGGGCATAAGGCCCACCCAAAATCTTGTAGGGGAATGAAAAAAAGGTTCTCAAAAATGGAATATCAGAAAAACCCATCTTTCATTCTTCCTCTCTCATCTGGGAACGAAAGCAACAATCTCACACTCTCAGTTGCTTTGCATTGCGCGACCCACCTTCGATCCGTTTCCATCCTCCCTGCGTCCACGTCGCTGGCTTTTATCTTCCAACATTGCCGCGTTCTTCTACGTCCCCAACCGGCCACGCACGATTCGTTGCGACGGCACAGCGGAAGCTTGGCGGGCAGCGCCCTCATCACCATTTCAACAACAGATATCGCATTCGAAGTTAAAACACACTATAAACCAAACACATGTTGCGTACCTTAGAGTAATTTCGACGCGGTGGTGTTGACAGTGTCGCAGATTTCGTAGGTACTTGTTACTCCCTCTCGTCTCCAACCTTTTTGATTTTGTATCGATGCTGGTGTTGCGTTTTGACCTTCAATTTGGGTGCGTGATGATGTGTTATGTATTGTTGTTGAGGTTGCCATGAATGGGATGCGTATGTGTGAGTTGATTTTACTGCCCTGCTGTGCGTGTTAGTGTTGTTTTGTGGTAGCTGCTTCTTGCTATACTATGGGTTTTCAAAACCATTGTATGCATATGTGTTGCTGCCGTAATTTGTGATGTTATCCCCCCTGTGTATGTGAGAACTGCTTCGTTTTATAGGCTCATCGTATTGATTATATCGATTTTGATTTGAATGTCGGGATTGCCTTCACTTTTGATTTTGGAAAGAAAATGTGCACGACAGTTAATTGTGATCTCCTGCTTTATTTTAAATTAATTTGATTGATCACACTTGGATAAAACAATATTTGTTTCCATTTCTGTCTTGCGATTTCGTTTGCGATAATATACTTCCTTTTTCAATTGGGCTTGTGATTCATTTCACGATTTACTTCCAGTCTTCATATTAATGACTTTTATCTCTTGCTACAAATTCTTTATGATGCTATTTTTTGCCATGATTTTATGAATCTTCCCAATTATGTTTGATTCTATCGAGTGAATAATCGAGGAATATTGAATGTATCATGGATACTCTTGGTGCCATTTTGCTGATTATTTTGATTTCGTCGTGACTGCTACAAATGAATTTTTGATTTCCTGCCAAACTTTCCATATCTTTTACTGATCTTAGTGATGCAAATTGATGACAGCGGTTTGATTTAATGCCAATTTGCACGAAATTCTTTGCTGAGAAATAGCTGTGGCTTATAATGTGTTTCCCTTGGATTTATTTCTATTCAGGTTTGAACTTGCATGATCTTCTGAAGAAGGGACGCGGCATTGGAAATCTCGCGAATGAACTGACTTCTTTGAGTGGCGGTACTAAGGATGTATCGGCTTCTTGTGGATCAACTATTCTGTGGCATCTTGAACAGGTTTTGTTCTAAGTGTACAACCTCCCGTATTAAGCCATTACGGATGATGTGAGCCGAAGAGAAAACCGCTATTTGGTGCAGCCAACTGCCAGTAGTGAAAAATAGCAGTACCAACACCCAAAGCAAGAATGGCAAAGGTCGAACAAGTGTTGCCCCCCCATGCGTCTCTGAAGAACCGAGCGACTTAGGTAATACTTTCTCATTCAACTCTTTGAAATCAAATTGCATTTACCGGCATATTGGTTTGTGCGACTTAATTTAGCTCTTGCATTATTTGGCACCGCAGTAGCATCCCTTTTAGCTTCGGTGTTGGTACTGTAATATACTTTCAATTCATATCTTTGATTATTTCTTTGAACACATGAATATGTTTTCATTTCGAGTCGTCATATTGGATCAAAGGTTACCGACTCATTGTTCCTTTCCATTTCATGTGCATTTAATGACTCGGTGGTAACATTCTGATGCTCTGTGCACAAAGATGATGGATTCCAATATATGTAAGCTGCGAGTTCTAGCTGTGACAGGTAATTTATGATGAACACGGAGCAAACTCCTTGGCAGGTTCCAAACACTTCTTCAAGTTTTAGAATCACTTGCATCTGCTTGCTTTTTATTTTGTAAATGTGGCGTTTTTATACAGTAGCTTCAAAATAATATTGTGTGCCGTATTTTTTCTGTTTGTTTCCAATCTCCTCAGGCTTCAACATGAATTTGTTTGCGCTAGCATGACAGGTTTTTATAGTAGGGTAGAAACCGTATTTTTTCTGTTTGTTTCCAATCTCCTCAGGCTTCAACATGAATTTGTTTGCGCTAGCATGACAGGTTTTTATAGTAGGTTTTTCTACCTCAACTCAAACACCTCTTAGTTTATCAACCATAACGATTTTATTTTTATGAAGCTTTTTAATCTTTGGTGTTTTGAGCATTAATAGAACTACTTTTGACAGTGTAACATCTTTTGGAACTGTTTGCTTGGTGTTGACCTTCACGGCAACATACATGGGGTGCAGACCCTCGCGATCACGGTAGTACACTTTAAAAGAGCGAGTCATGCCATCCTTGTATCTTTGTTGCGTATCAACAACCATAGAAACGGACCCGGAGGGGAAATTCGGAGATTTGCTTGACATATACCATTTCGTTGCCGACTCCGTGAGAAATTGTTGTGCAGAAACAAATGATTGTGAAAAGGAATCATGGTTGCAAAGACACAGTAGGGAGTGTTTCCGGTTTTTCGGTTTTACTTCTTGTATTTTGGCATCAAGGACATGTCTAGATTTTATGTCAGTATCAATTTCTCTATCCATTACCACATCATTTGTACCGGGCTTCTAATAAAGTTGGCAAGTAGTTTTAATTGATGAGAGCATAGCTCTTTTTAGCTGGGCGTGACACTCTCTAAGATTACCGTTTTTAATTGTATATATGTTGTACTACGCAGCTACGCCTCTGCAGTAACCTTTTCATTTGTAACATAGCTTGACAGTACATTACCACAACCACATAAATCAAGTCTCGGAAACCGTCTATTAAGCTTTTCATGTCTGAACCAAAATCTTGAAATAAAATAGCTTGAATTTGACCTTTGAAACGGAAAATGGATTTGGATGGCTTGAACATGTTTGAATTCTTTGGTGCACTTTAAATCAACTAAACTTGAAGATGTGAATTGAAATTGAATCGAACGAGGATGGAGGAATAACTAGCGTCTTGTACCTTCCACGAAATTCATGAATTCCTCAACCTTAGTATCAATTTCCACAATTCAAATAATTCAAACCAATCTACACAAAATATTCAAAACATCCAATACACACATGAATGAATACTCCACCAAAGCTTTTAGTTCTCAATGGAAACCAACTTGCATTCTTAATGAATAATCCAACTTGCATTCACTGGAAAAGGAAACAATGTCTTGGATACAGAGAATCTTTCACCTTATATCTTTGTGCTTTTAGTCCACAAAGACATCTCAACATAATGGCAACGCCTTGAAGAACCCTTGAAAATGAATAAAGAAGGAAACCTTAATCCATGGCCTTTTTGGTTGAAACAATGATAAAAACTCCTAAGCACCATAAAAGGAGAAACCCTAATGCACCTTCTTGAAAAGATATCGATAGAAATGACATTGAGAAATCTTGAAGAATATGACCTTGGTACTTGGTGAGTCTTGACAAGAAGATGCTCGTGATGATGATAATTCAATCCCTAATTCCATAAACCATGAAGAACCAGTTGAATTAATCTTTAAAGAAGTAAAAGGTTCAAACCCAGTAGGAAACCCAGAGCCTCGATCTGATGCCTTAGAAATTTATGCAAATGAATGATTGTGATTGTATGACCTAGTGAATACTGCATATGTATGTGAAAAACAAACAGTGAGGGCAAATTTTAAGGTACAACAGACACACACATACTATCCACAGTAAATTTGCATTACTACAAAATCAACTTAAAACTAAAGTAAATTGTCAAAAATAATATTAGCAATAAATACATTATAACAAATAAAAAATATTATAACTATGTATATATTATTAATAAAAAAATATGTATATTATAACTAATTAAAAAACATTAAAAGTTGAATACATAAATAAAAAACTAATACAAAAAACTATATATGATAACTAAAAACCCTATACATGAAAACTTAGGTTAAATATTAAAAAAAGAGTAAATATTTGACTAATATATATATATATATATATATATATATATATATATATATAATATATATATATATATATATATAATATATATATATATATATATATATATATAAGTATATATATATATATATATATATATATATATATATATATATATATATATATATATATATATATATATATATATATATATATATATATATATATATATATATATATATATATATATATATATATATATATATATATATTATATATATATATATATATATATATATATATATATATATATATATATATATATATATATATATATATATATATATATATATATATATATATATATATATATATATATATATATATATATATATATATATATATATATATATATATATATATATATATATATATATATATATATATATATATATATATATATATATATATATATATATATATATATATATATATATATATATTATATATATATATATATATATATATATATATATATATATATATATATATATATATATATATATATATATATATATATATATATATATATATATACTATATATATATATATAATATATATATATATATATATATATATATATATATATATATATATATATATATATATATATATATATATATATATTATATATATATATATATATATATATATATATATATATATATATATATAATATATATATATATATATATATATATATATATATATATATATATATATATATATATATATATATATATATATATATATATATATATATATTATATATATATATATATATATATATATATATATATATATATATATATATATATATATATATATATAATATATATATATATATATATATATATATATATATATATATATATATATATATATATATATATATATATATATATATATATATATATATATATAGGGGTGGACAAACACCCGATAACTGACCTAACCCGCATCAACCGATGGTAATAAAAGGAATTGGGTCGGATGTATTCGGGTTTCCAGATTTGCGGGTCATTTGAACCGGTTTCATAAGGGTTCAATTGGGCGGGTCCGGTTCAACATATTGAAACCGTGGGTCTTGAAACCATACACTTGGTAAACCACATCAAAACATATTGAAACCAGTAAACCAGTAAACCACCTCATTTACCAGCAAGTTCTCTCTCGTGCAAACCACATCATTTCAATTGTAAACCAGTAAACCACAACCCTAACATTTCCAGAGTTTTGTTCTCTCTCTTCTAATCATGTCATGAACCCTAAATATGAACATCCACTTCCATTCGCCGCCGTAGATCCCCTTCTACTTTGTTCCTCACTGTTTTTCTTCTGAAGTTCTAACTCACATCTTTGTCTCATATCTTCCACTGGTCTCTTTCATTTCTCTTCCGACTCATATCTTTGCTGTTTCTTATGAAGTTTTGAATACTTTTGGAAGTTTGACTCGAAAGTGAAATCGAAGGTTTGAAGACTTTTTCAGCTAAAGGTTTGAACACTTTCTTTGGATTATTTTATTTTGTATGATTTTGTGACTTGTGTTTTCTATTTGTTTCTTACCAAAGATCACATCTTTTTTATGATAGGGATATCTAAAGGTTTGAATGGAAATTTGAATCGAAGTTGACATCTTTTTGGTGATAGGGAGAGGTAAAGGTTTGAAGACATTTTTGGATTGTTTTTATTTTGTATTGTTTTCTCTCTTGTTCTATTTGTTTTACAGTACACAATTTTATCTATTTTGCTGCCTTTGTAACTCAATGAATTTAACTAGTTTGTGTTTTACAGTACACAATTTCTTTAACCAAGTGGAATGGACCAAGGTCAAAGTGGAATGGATCAAGGTAATTTCTTTACAGTACACAATATGTTCTAGTGTGATTTTAAGTGTATGCAATGTGTTTATAAATATGGTTTTGATCATAGTTTTTAAGTGAATTGGAATGTTGATTGGTAGTTTTTGATAATGGCTCCTTCGTTATTTCAGTGACTAGTGATCCTAATCAAAACCCACCAGTTAATGAAGTAGGTTCAACTACACGGCCTACAAAAAAGAGGAAATCTAGTGCAAGTGGTTCTAGGTAATCATCTGCTTGCTGGGAACACTTTGTTAGATTACCTGATGACCTTGTTGATGCACCCACTGCAACCTGCAAACACTGCCATAAAAAATACTTGTGTGACCCTAGGACTCAAGGCACCACCAGCCTGAACCATCATATTTTAAAATGTCCTAAGAAGCCCCTTGTTGTGTCAACTGACCCCACACAAACTATTCTAACATACCCAACTGTAGATGGTAACTTGGTTCAAGTTAGCTCTAGGTTTGACAAGAAAGCTTGTAGAAGTGCGTTGTCTGTTTTTGTAGTTCTAGATGAGCAGCCATTTAGTGCAGTAGAGGGTGAAGGGTTTAAATTTTATTCCAAAGTAATGCAGCCCCAATTTACCATCCCATCTAGGCGTACGGTAGCTAGGGACTGTTTTCAGCTACACTTGGATGAAAAACAAAAGTTAAAGGCCTTTTTTAAGTCTGACTGCAATAGAGTAGCACTTACTACTGATTGTTGGACTTCTATACAAAATCTTAATTACTTGACCCTTACGACACACTTTGTGGATAACGATTGGAAGTATCAAAAAAGAATTATAAGCTTCGCCGTAATTCCAAACCACAAGGGTGAAACTGTTGGTAGGAAGATTGAAGAAGTATTGAGGGATTGGGGAATTAGAAATGTGTCAACCATAACTGTTGACAATACCACTTCCAATGATGTTGCTGTGGCATATCTAAAGAAAAAGGTTGCAAATACGAATGGGTTGATGGGGGATGGATAGTGTTTTCATATGAGGTGTTCTGCTCACATTTTGAACTTGGTGGTAAATGAGGGTTTGAAAGATAAACATTTATCTGTCAGTAGTGTTAGGGATGCTGTTAGATTTGTTAAGTCCTCACCTCATAGGGCAACCAAGTTTAAAGAATGCATTGAATTAGCTGGGATAACTTGCAAACAATTAGTATGTCTTGATGTTTCAACTCGTTGGAACACGACATATTTAATGCTAGAGGTTGCAGAGAAGTTTCAACTCGCTTTTGAAAAGCTTGAGGATGAAGAGTCGAGTTATAAGGAGTTCTTTGGAAAAGGTAATCCCCCTAGTAGTGATGATTGGGACACTGCTAGAGCTTTTGGTGCTTTTCTAAAGTTATTCTACGAAGCAACTAAGATTTTTTCCACCTCTCAAAGTGTGAGTCTGCATACTTGTTTAGTGTCTGCCATTTATTGTGAGTTGAAACAAGCTACAATGAACTTAAATGATGTTTTTGCAAGTGTAGGTGGGGATATGATGGAAAAGTATAATAGATATTGGGGGAATGCTGATAAGATGAACAAGATGATATATTTTTGTATTATTCTTGATCCAAGATACAAGTTGAGTTACATTGAGTGAATGTTTAAGGAGATGTGCGGAGTTGGATCGAAGTTTGGTAGTGACTTGGTAAAATCTATAAAAGCGGATTTACAAAAGTTGTATGATTGGTATAAGAAAGCTTATGACCAAAAACATAATTCCACACACCCTTTTG